ATTAGAGTCGGTCTAATATAAAAATCTCCTATTAGTCAAAGTTTGGGGGGCAGTAATCTCACAGCCTACTGCTCTACTTTTCCTTTCTTCATAGAAGTGTTCCTGGTTTTTGAAGTGGGACAGTTCTTTAATGTGTAAATCTGTCTCACACATCACCAGATTTTCACAGCCCTTGTCCCAGCTCCTTAAAACACAGCGGCAACCCTATTTCCATAGCTCTCATTGGGTGAGACTTTCAGCATCTCCAGGATTCTCCTTTCTTTCTTTTTTTTTTTTTAATTTATTTTAATTTATTTTGCAATACAATTCAGTTCTACATATCAGCCACGGATTCCCTTGTTCTCCCCCCTCCCGTCCCCCTCACCTTCCCCCCAACCCCCCCCCCCCATTCGCATCTCCTCCAGGGCAAAGCCTTCCCCACAGACTGAGGTCAACCTGGTAGACTCAGTCCAGGTAGGTCTAGTCCCCTCCTCCCAGGCCGAGCCAAACAATCCTGCATAGGCCCCAGGTTTCAAACAGCCAACTCATGCAATGAGCACAAGATCTGGTCCCACTGCCTGGATGCCTCCCAAACAGATCAAGCCAATCAACTGTCTCACCCATTCGGAGGGCCTGATCCAGTGGGGACCCCTCAGCCATTCTCAACAGAGGAAACTCAAATGGCCGAAAGACATTTAAGGAATTGCTCAACATCCCTAATCATCAGGGAAATGAAAATCAAAGCAACTCTGAGATACCACCTTACGCCTGTCAGAATGGCTAAGATCAAAAACACTGAAGACACCTTATGCTGGAGAGGATGTGGAGCTAGGGGAACTCTCCTCCACTGCTGGTGGGAATGCAAGCTTGTACAACCACTTTGGAAATCAATATGGCGCTTTCTTAGAAAATTGGGAATCCATCTCCCCCAAGATCCATCTATACCACTCTTGGGCATATACCCAAGAAATGCTCAACCACACCATAAGAGCACTTGTTCAGCTATGTTCATATCAGCATTGTTTGTAATAGCCAGAACATGGAAACAACCCAGATGCCCTTCAACTGAAGAATGGATAAACAAAATGTGGTATATATACACAATGGAATACTACTCAGCAGAGAAAAACAATGGCATCATGAGGTTTGCAGACAAATGGATGGATCTAGAAAAAATCATCCTGAGTGAGGTAACCCAGACTCAGAAAGACAAACATGGTATGTACTCACTCATAGCAGGATACTAGACATGAAACAAGGATGGCTTGTCTGCTACTCACATCACCAGGGAGGCTACCTGGAAAACAGGACCCCAAGAAAGACACAGGGATCACCCAATGACAGAGAAATGGAATGAGATCTACATGAACAGCCTGGACATGAGTGGGGGTAATGAAAGGCGAGGGTTGAGGGAAAGAGAGCTTGGGGGAGCGGGAGATCCCAGCTGGATCAACAACAGAGAGGGAGAACAAGGAATAGGAGACCATGGTAAATGAAGACCACATGAGGATTCTCCTTTCTTAAAGCAGGAACAAAGAGAAAGATTTTGCATTACAACTATCGTTGGAATTTGTCTTTAATGTACAAAAGCTGCCAACATTTTATTGGAAAATATACTTGTGAGCATATAACTAGAGAGATCTCTGATTTCTCCTAGAAGAAAACTGCCTGGAGAGATGAAAATAAACCAGCTGCATTCTAATCTGTGATTTCGTGTAGAAAACACAGGTGTGTGTGTGTGTGTGTGTGTGTGTGTGTGTGTGTGTGTGTGTGTGTGTGTGTTTGCAGCTATGACATATGTTCTTGATCTTTTCCCCTGTAATCAGATTGGTGAATCTCCTAAATGTCATCATAGAGCCTTCATCCAGTGACTGATGGAAGCAGTTGCAGAGATCCACAGCTAGGAACAGGGCTGAGCACCTGGAGTCCAGTTGAAGAGAAGGAGGAGGGATTGTATGAGCCAGGGTGGGGTAGGGGGTGGGGGGCGTTGGTCAAGATCATGATGAGGAAACCCAGAGTTAGCTGACCCAAGCTAGTGGGAACTCGCGGACTCTGGACTGACAGCTGGGGATCCTGCAGGGGACCTAACTCGGCCCTCTGAGTGTGGGTGACAGGTGTGTGGCCTGGGCAGTTTGAGGGGCCCCTGGCAGTGGGACCAGGATTTATCCCTGGTGCATGAACTGGCCTTTTGGAGCCCATTCCCTATGGAGAGATAGCTTGCTCAGCCTTGATGCAGAGGGGAGGGGCTTGGCCCTGCCTCAACTTGATGTGCCCAACTTCCTTGGCTCTCCATGGGAGGCCTTACCCTTTCTGAGGAGTGGATGGGGAGGTGATATGGGGGAAAGGTGGGGGAGGAACAGGAGGAGAGGAAGGAGGGGAAACTGTGGTTGGTACGTAAAAGGGAAAAAATTAAAAATAAAAAAAAATTTTTTTTAAGGATTCACTGAATCAGCTGAAACATTTACCTGTCTTTAACAGTAGTCACAATTATGCACAACTTGAAGAGAAAAACCCTAAGAGTTGAGTTATAAATGTAGCATTTTAAAACTTGGGTTTGTAACCTTAATTTTGCATTTTATTTAAGCAAAGTTTGAATGGCTACTTTTTTATAATGAATGCTACAGAACTTCCATAATGTTCACTTGGAAGCCACACAAGATCTTTAAATTGCAATTAAAATTAACAAAAAAAAAAAAAAAATGCTCCAAAATGTTGTGAGCATCGAGGCCTTAGAACTACGAAGGAGAGATTCTTAAATGATGAGCGTAAGCAAATGTAGGTAAGTGTGCCATATCATGGTCCCTTGTTCCTCTTAGGTGAAGTTTAAGGCATCTCTCCTTTGAATCATGTAGGATTTGTACTGCCTATCTAGAGGCATTTGTAAATATGTCACAGGAAGGCAGTTCTATTGGAACTTAGTGTTGAGGACCAAGGACTTTAAACTAAATCTTGCACAAGAATAGTTCTATAAAGCAGAGCCATCTTGTGTGAATACCAATAGTCGGGATTGGGAAACACTGTCACTCATCTAACAAACACAGACTCCAAGCCCGTTCTCTGGGACAAAGGGAAAGTTAGTCATGTGTTGCTTCTTGAAGTTAGCATCAGCCAGGAACATATGAAGCCCAGAGATGCTTCTCACCTGTCTTTTGGGTTTCTGTATACACTTTGGTCAACTATTTCCACTCGATACCTTAAAATAAGCCTAAAGAACTATCATATACTACATTGTCTGAAAGAATGCTCATATGTCTTTGAAAATGCTCTTATAGTTATGTCTCCCACATCTATCTGTGCTCAACTATTGGGCATTTATATAAAATCGTTTTCCAAATAGTTCCCAGCCTCCCCTTTCCAGTCTGTCTCTCTTCATCCCCAAATGCTGGAAGATACTCCTGGAACATCATTTATTCAGTGCTATTTTTCTACCCTTAAATCTTCAGGGCTTAATTTCTTATCACCCCACCCCTTTGTCTCCACACCAGGATGTTTTACGGTACGGCAGTGCCACCTTCATTTTTATATTTTTCCATATTATATAACACAGCATCTGACAATGCCAAACATGCCTTGAAATTTTTGTTTGTAACTCTCAAGAGCTGTGTTCGAACACTCCTTAACACTGTTACTTCATTGCAAGCCTATAGTTTCATCATTCTTTGTAGTCACACCATATTATTATTGGAAGGAATAGAACACCTAGCTTTGTATACTTGTGATTTGCTAATACTGTGAACTTTCTCTTCTTGTTCGTTAGATCATACCGTATGCTACTAAGTGGGCATGCTACTAAGCAAATGGTAGTAATATTCCAACAAGTCCACAAGCAATTGTCAATTTCTTGTTGAAAATAGGTCCACAGTTTATTTTTACCAAAGTATAGCATGATATACCATGGATATCAGGCACTATAAAATCTTACGTACCTGGAGCTTAATAGCGTAACCTAATTCTCTACACAAATAGTATGAGGTCCATCATAATAAGAGATTCTTTATAGTTAATGGAAGTTTTCTAGTGTAGGCTATGAATCTCACAGCCACAACATATGGAAAAGAAAAAGAAACATATATAGATAGATGGTGCATTAGCTTACCCATAATTCACTTCTGAACTAGGCTTTGCATCCAGAGAATCCCTGAATACCTATTCCTTCCCAGACGTTTAGCAAGGTACTTTATAAACAAGTGCTTTTAAAAGCACGGAAAATTAAACAGTCTGAGTCTCTTAACATGTACAGGTATGAGTCTGACACATAAACACTCTCGAATTATAGTGTCTTAAGCAGCAATTTATTCTTTCATTTCATACCCCAAATACTTCGGCCTGCAAGTCCCCACATTCTTCAGGAACAGTACCAATCCCAAGAGCAACCACACCTTTGCGAGCACTTCCACACATTCTTTTTTATTTCCTCACATCATTTTAAATAAAGAAGGAAAGTGTTTATCATTTCTATTCAGTTACATAGAATTGGAACACTGCTATGTAACAGAAATCACCACACTAATGCACAGGGAAAGAAAGTCAAGTCACTTTGGTCTAGGCTGAATACATTTAAGTCTTGACCTTGTAAACATTTCCACAGGAGGTAGAACATAGACATTTGACTTTTTGTCAAATAAGTGATAGTAAACAATGATTAGGAGAGCCTAATAAATTAAAGATATTGTGAAGGCATGGAATATATTTTCTTGTTTTAGAAACCAAAGACGAAGGAACATAGATACTTTTCAATAAATTAGAAAGTGAAATATTACATCTTTGGAATGTCTGCATCTTCAGATTTCCATTGGCTTCATTTGATAGTGTTTGAAGTTATGATCAATAATGACTTCACATTTTAGCCTCTTTGTGTGCAATACAAGTATCTCCATTTACTATGGCATTGTCCCAAGTATCAGCGATCTGAAAAACACGTCCAGCCACTGAATCATCTTTGCTCTCATGGCAGCTGGGGAGGGATAGTGACATCAATGCAACTGAGAATTTGAGTTTCAGCTGCATCTCACAGTGTTTCTTTAGGTGCCTCCAGCTGCTGTCCCCATAAACACAGTGTTGATGGGTGGTAAAGAAGACACCATGTCTCTATTGCTTGCTCCATTGGAGTCCAGAGTTTCTTGCACTGGGTACTGATTAGAAGTTCCATACATACACTGGGATGAAGATGAGGGAATCTGGGTTTGCAAGTTGGAAGCTAGAAGGGAAAAATATAATCAACAGTTGAAAACAAATTGACAAGTACCACTCAATTTGAACCTCTTTATGGTTTTTTTTTTTTTTGCATTTAGCATACATCAGCTATTTCAAATGTGAATGTTCATGATTCACTAGAACAGCAATATTTTCTTCTATTTTTCCCATTTTTTGTCCTGCCAGGTACTATTTCATAGAGGAAACTCAGTATCATATTACTCCTGTCACTAAAATATGTCTCCTGTCTGCCTCTGCCTTCTGCCTGCACCTCTGATCACCATTGCTTCCTGACCAACATAGCAGCCCCATGCTCTCATCTTTGCTTCGGTCTCTTGCCCTCCAGGGAAGAGCTAGAAAGATCTTGGTGATGTGTTTCTACTCTTTTTTTTTTTTTCCAGCCGACCATGACTTACTACACTCTAGGAACAAAACCCAGTCTCCTTGCCATAACTCATAAAACCCTACCTGAACTGACTCTTAAAATTCACTTTGCTCCACTCTCCCCCTCGTTTACCTGCTCAAGGCACACGGATTTTCTTTCTGCCCCCAGAAATTGGTAACTTGTTTTCTGATCCCAGAGGCTCTATAATGGCCATTTCTTCTGTCTAGATCGTCTCCATCCAATTTCCACAACGCTTCTGGATTGCCCAGTTCTCAATTTAAATGCTCCTGCCCCAGGATTCTACTCCTGACACCTGTCTCAAACAGCTCCCACTTTGCCAGCTGCCACTTTACACACTTTGGAGAAGCTAAAGTTACCTTTTTAACAAATTGCTTTAGGTTAACATTTTTAGTAACGGGTTTTATCATAGCATCTATGGTCTTTATACTGGTTCTGGTTTGTTCCCGTCTCCTACTGGCCTTCCCCAAACTCCCTTCCCACTCCAGCTGGTTTCCCCTGCTCAGTTAATTCCAATGTCTTACTTTCTCATCACATGCATTCCATTATATACATACATATATATTCCATATCTATTAAGAGTTATTCCTCCTTTCTCATGATCCTATATGCATACACATATAAATGTACCTCTCTCACATACAGATATATATGTACATACATAATTACATATATATACTTATTTAAATCTAGGTTCCACATATGAGAGAAAGCCTGTGATGATGAAATTATCTTTGTAATGCATACATTTGCACATTCATTGCCTTACTCTCCCCTTCCAGAGCATCAACTTCCTCCAAGCAGAAACTGTGTCCTGATTCCCTCAGCATCCTCATACCTAGAGTCGGATATACAGTTGCTCTACAAAGCCTCGTGAACATATTCAAGAGGTCCACATCCCTCTGGCATGGTTGATGCCTTCCCATTGTCAAGGCAATGCATGCTCTGTCCCTAAGGATCAGGCTGTATAACTAATGAAGACAGTGAGTCCAGGCCCCACGGGGCTTGTTCACTCACTCCCTTCCTCTTCCACTCTGAAACCCAGTTTGCAGTCTGCTCAGTAGGCAGCTCTGACAGCCAAAGCTTAGAATCCACCCTACTTCCAAGCCATGTTCCATCAAAGCTTCCATTATCTCCACAAGCAAACAGAACTAATAGTAACAATAGCAACGCGGCACATTTTAGTCTGGTGGTGAGGAAACTTCCTGAAGTGGAATTTTCTGCTTCATTAGAGTAACCTAGAAGCAATGGCTGTTAGCAGATAGCAGGAGATGAGCTGCTAGACCACTCAGGGCACATTTGTGATGGCCACAGGAAGGGAAGAAGTGCTTCCTATTGAATGATTGGAAAAGTACACTGAGTGATGAGAGATGGAATTTATTTCATTTTCCCCGTGCTTCTATTGGGTGTCCTATGTCCTTCACTTACACTAGTGTAAAAACCAATTCCACTGAAGATTTAATTCTCTCATATAAACATGAACACTTTTTTCTGATACTTGATGAAAGCATACTTTCCCTTTGATACTTCATTATTCATTTTCCAAACTAAATGCACTCATAGATTTAGGTTCAAAACCTATGTTATGGGAAATAACTTATTAATTCAAGTGGACTAAATGTATGTACAGATTTAAGGTTGTTAGTTTGGTGCTAGATGTCAAACCCAAGGCTTCACACATGACAGTCAAGGGGTCTACCACTGGGCCACACCTGAAGGCTCTGGATTGGTTTGTATTCTTCCATCACTCATTGATTTGCTAAGCTCCTACCATGCAGCCAACTAGGTGGTGTATCTAGACCCTTCACAGATGAGGCTCAGGTTGGAAGAAGCAGCTGGAAGACTTCATAGCAGGCACACTGATTTGCTCACTTTGGCTTGAATTGTATGTTACAGAACAATAAACATAGCAACATTTTCTGCCATGGTATTCAATCTCATTTTACCAAAAAAAAAAAAATTAAGAAAACACTAGCTGCTACTATCACAGGATACATTTTTGGAAACATTCCCAGTGGTGTGGGGTGCTAATGGAGATTATGGGGTCTAAAGATAACTCTTGACACCTCCTTGTGAGTCCAATGATAGTCATAAGAGATGAGGAAAATGCGCCATTCCTGTTCTCATAAAGTTCACTACTATTTAGAATACCTTGGAACCAGCTATACTAAAATTGTTATACATAGTAAACATAAGTTATTACTTTTTGGAAGGAGCAATAGATCTTAAATCAGGCGTGTACTAATCATACAAAGAATAAGGAATGGAAATTCACTCTTCACTCAAATACAAAAACAACTTCAGATCCAATGATAAATTACCTTAGGGCCATGCATGCCTAGTTCACCCATACATAACCCCCAGATCATTTTGTGTATCTGAAGTTCATCACTTCTTAAAATGCTTCCAATGCCTAGGAAAACAATTTACCTACTACAGGAGTCCGACATGCAACTGGAGAGGATGTGTCTGGATAAAACGAGTTGCTCTGTTTCCGGTCACTGTCATCTAAAATGTTAAGTGGATCATGGATGTCACTGTAGGGAGGCAGTGAGCGAACACTACTGATGACGGAAACATGTTGGTTCACCATCGATCCGAGCCTCTGAGCTTCTGAGTAGTTTATATTGTTTCCATAGTATCCTAGAACAGAACAGATCGAGAATACTCTGTTTGCTTTTTACTGAATCACCCCAGGAAAGGTGATTCAGTAGGAACAACAGTGGAGTATAGTCCTAAAAACATCAATGGTTAATATCATTTCTATTAGTAACTTGAGAGTTGGACTTACACTTTCATATGGCATGGTTTACTATTGTATTTTTGAGTTAAAAGGTAACGGACATATTATTCATTTTGAGACTGACTGTATCTTTGCCACATTTTCTTTATCTAAATTTATGAAGCATGTTTATGAAGCAAGACACAAGTACTGTTAGCTCTTTAAATGAGACTTCTTCTCAAACACAGTTTCTATTTACAGAATCGTGTTCCTGGGAGAAAGGCTGGCCTACACCTAGGAGAAAGTCTTTGGGAAAGTTTAATGAATTCAGAGGTCTTTCAGTTTCCTTAACTTCAGGTATTTTGTCTTGTTTATAACCAAACACGGAATATTGATTTTAGAGCCAATATTTAAAATGTGCTGTTAATTCTCTGGAAGACACAATTTCCATTAAGAATATTTTCAAATGACAGAATATTGTTTGGCTGTATCTGGCATAAGTTTTCACTGTCTTTTAAATCGTGTATGATAAACTTTAATAAGTCCACCAGAATTAAGGAATGTATTTGGGTGTGGCAGACATATTCTGCAAGGGCTAAGATTCTGTGATTTTTACCATTTTTTTCTAGATGGCATGATAATCAGCCAAGGTGAAACTCAATATCAGATTGCTTTACTGCCTTTTCAAAAGTCAGAAAATGTCTTTAAAAGTTATATACCATTAGGAGAATTAGAAGGCAATGTTGCTCCTTGGCAGCTGCCAGCTCCTGAATTACTAAGGAAATTGAAGCTTCCTGTGTTCAAAAACTGTATGCTATGTGACTCCTGTGTGTGTGTGGATGGTCCGTAGCTGGAAGGTGGTCTGGAATTATATGGAGAGCCAGTACAACTGCCACTGAAGAAGTCTCTGGAAAGCTGCTGTTCAGTCCAGGCCATGCATCTTCCATGCTCTGCACGGTGAGTATAGAGGTTTGATGAAGGGTGAGACTGTGCCCTGAACACAGTCTGATAGTTAGAGTTGGTCCCATAAAAGTCATGGTTGGCTGGAGAGAGGGAAGGATAAATTGGCTCTGGATATGTTGAGCAGTGTGTTGGAACTGAGAGAACTGAGCCCACACTTGGGGGTCTGCCTGCCATTGGCCCTTGGTTAATGACACTTCCTCGGCTTGCCATGGCTGGAGAAATAGGTGGTGTCATCAGATGGCCGGTACTCTGTGAAAGCTCTATTTGACCTGGAAAAAAAGAGTGAGAGGATTCTGTGAGTAGTCTAGTAAGTAGATGGGATCATGGCTTTAAAGGTATTCAAACGATTTATGAACGTGCCCTTTGTTCCAACTTAGTAATTCCCACTTTCTGTAAATAACTAAACTGGAGAACATATAGGCACATGTATATTCACAACACAACTATATTTAACAGCAGTGGTAACTTGGAGTTGGTAAGAGTAAAACCTGGGATAGTTTCATTTTCTCATAGGCTGGGGGAGGTGGAGGGGATCTGGGATAATCTGGGAGGAGCTGGAAGGAGGAGGGAGAATAACAATGATCAAAATATACTGTATGAAAAAACTCTCTTTTTTATTTTGTTTTTTGAGATAGGGTGCCCTGGAACTCTCTCTGTGGACCAAGCTAATGAAAAATATTTTTAATTAAAAAAAAAAAGAACTCACAAGTAGGAATGGCAAAGGAGTGTGATTGTACCATAACAAAAAAATGATTTGATCTTTAATAATAGAAAAATGCACTGATATCGTAATGCCCATCATTTCAGAGACAACTGAAAACATCAGGAAACACAAGGGGTGAGCGATGGGATTTACAAATGTCTCCAACTCTCTGGGCTTTCCTGTGGTTTAATTAAACCATGGCATTAAAAGGTCTTCATTCTTAAAATTCTGCATGCCCAATGAATTAATGTATAAAATGGGACTTTTTTTTAAAAGCCCATGAGCCAATGAGAAGATTTAAAATATTCTCGATCTCCAGTTTAAATCACTGAAAATTCATCCTGCTGCAAAGCATAAAATTATTGTATAGCTGTCCTAATGTGGCTGGAAGAGAAACCTCACCAAAGCCAAAATCAAATAAGCAACCCAGTTTTTAAAGGCAGAATTTTGCACACAGCCACCACCCAGACCTACATCCTGGGCCTTGGGCTGGCCACCCTAGGATACCCACAGGATCTCCATGACTCAGGATGGTGGCAGGATATTGAGGGGAGTTTTGGTAAGGGTGCAGTGATATGGGGTATCAGAACCCAGAGGCCTTGAACCAGGCCAATGACTCATTGCAATATTGGGCAAGAGGATTACTGCATGACACACCACAGCTCCTAGTGCCACTCCAATGAATAAAGAGATGATGGAGAGGAGGGAAAGGAGGAGAGCAGGAGCAAAGAGTTTTTTTATTTTTTTGTGGTGGAGGGCACTGCAAGGGTGAGGGGTGGGGGAACACAGAGGACTTGGAGATGAGTGGAATTCGGGTGCATGATATGAAATTCCCAAAGAACCAATGAAGAAATTATGTTTAAAATAATAGGCAAGAATCTGGAAAGTCTATCAATCGAAATGTTCTTTGTGTGTTATTAGTTTATATACAGTAAGGGATTTTAATTTGAAGTGCAATGCAGTATATTTTTATGAAGTAAATAATTTGTTATTAAAGAAAAAAGGAAAAGACACAGTTTTGCTAGACAACCCGGGCTGGATTGAACTAATGACCTTCTGACCTCAGTCCCCTGAATGCTGGGATTACAGATGTGTGCCACAATGCCTAGAAAGAAATCCATGTTTTATCTTTAATGTATCTTAAAGATTTTATGCATATCTAAGATAGGTTTTCTTCTATTAAATGAAGAGACCTATTCATACTTCTGATATGAGTTACTGTCGATGCATGATAATCACATGAGTAATGGTATAAACAGCAATTGCAAAATGTCAGAAATATAAACTCATGAATTTAAAAAATGGGTTTTTTCTTTTATAATATAAAATGTTTTTCTCTTTGGCATTCCTGAACTTGTGAGTGTTAAGAGAAATGGGTCCACTGAGATGTGCTGGAAAATGTAAGGTGTGCTTTCTTGCTTCTCCTCATACCTGTAAGTGGCATGTTCTCAGCATTCTCAGCTGGGAACGGGTGCAGAGCAGGGGGTATTGCTCCAGGCTGGCTGGGAGGCAGAGGGATGTAGGATGTCTCCACATGGCTTTCATTCTTCACAGTATCACTGGAAAGTGAGCTGCCCTTATTACGGTTGGCCAGAAAGCAGGAGCTCGGGGAAGCCATGAAGGCAGCTTTACTGGCATCTGCAAATGTTATTTTAAAGAGACAAAGATAGGATTATGAAATACTCTTCGTTAACAAGCCCAAGCAAAAGACATTGAAAATGGATCTTGGTTGAGTAATGAATCTGGAAACTCCACAGGAAACAGGCTGGAAGGCTTTGATATTTATGGGTACTAGGTTTGGTAGTTGAGTATTTATGGTCAGGTATATTCTGAAGGGCACTAAACAATCCACTCTGGGCTAAACAGGCTTCAAAAGGCAGGTTTCTCACCTGAAATAGGCTATCCTTCCTCCTCCGATCTCCTGTTATATTTCTACATGGTACTGCTACATGTGCTGTTTTGAATAACAAGGATTTTTTGTGGGTACGACAGACACTTCTCTAACTTTATCTAAAGTCTCAGAAATTAAGAATGTTAAGTTGTGTAAACTTCCAGTTTCCATTGAGGAACTTTCACTGCTGTGTCTAAATGAAGGGAAGAGGGTACTCCATCAATGTTCAGCTAGGACACTAGTGGTGCTGAGCTTGGAGGAAAACAGACTATATGAACCCCCGTGTGTACCTACAGATCCTTAAACTTATGTTTAAATAAAGGAATATGAAAAGTACAATAGCTGTTGAAGTTACCTGAGTTCTTCATATACTTGTCCAATAAGTTCTGCAGTTCCTGCTCTTTGTCGTTATTAAATTGAGTCTCCATGGCCAGGAGGATGTATTCATCCAGAAGCATCCGGATCAGATGGAAAGAACCTCGTTTATAGAAGAGGAGGCATGTACAGACAGAAAGTGGGGGAAGGAGGGAGGAAATAGGGAAGGGAGGGAGGAAAGAGGGGAAGGAGAGAGAAAAGGAAAGAGAAAACTTATCTTTGTGACCATCTCACCACACTTTACAAGGAACAACTGAAATAAACAAACACGTGTTGGACTTTCAATGACCTGCTAAGACCAACATGCTTAACTTGGGCCTCTAATCTTTCTGTGTACCTCCTGCTCAGCTCCCTGTGTGCACTGTCCTGCCAGCCCTTTGGCCACTAATTACATCAAAGGAAAATGTGGATGAAAGTGAGACAGGCTTTATGCTTTAAGAGGGCACACACTGGAGCATGATAAGCCTGAGTTGTGGAGAATGACCTCTCTTCTGCTTGATTTCTGTTTACTTTGCACTAAATAATTAGACGATGGCCAACGTTGTCTGAAAATTTTATCAAATAAGATGTCTTTCCAGCTTGAACCATATTTGATTTAAAAATAAAAGCAAATGAGTAATTTTCATGTGAAAGGCAGACCTGCGAACTTTTAACTTCTTTGAACTGTTCAGCAGTTTTCCTAACAAAAGTCTTTTCTTCACGCTAAAGTCAGGCTTCAGTGCCATGCATTTTAAGAAACTCGGAATATAAGAAAAGCTATTTTAAATAATAGACTATTGTTTTTGACCTTGAAACACATTATTTAACTTTAATCCCGTTGAACCCTAGATGAAACTTGAGTTGACTCTAACCTGTTTTGTAACATGAAAAGTTTTTAAAATCCAATTCACTGTCTATACGTTTAGTATTGTAACTGAAGGTTAGTGAGCTCAGAAAGGTTAGGGCAAAGACAGTACTCAATTTTTGAAAAGGCTAACAGCCCAGTTTACGTGGTGGGTTTAAAGATCAGGCAAGACAGTTCAGAACCTTAGGAGCCTGTGCCTTCTAAGTTACACGTTGGTTCCTCAAGTGCAGCTATGTGGGTGCTGGGGAAAGATGCAAGAGGCAGCCATGCTACGTAATGATGGGTGCTGGGGAAGGATGCGAGTTTTCCCCATGCTACGTAATGATGGGTGCTGGGGAAGGATGCGAGTAGTCCCCATGCTACGCAGTAAGTAGAGCCTCTGGGGAACAGTGTCTCAGTTACTGTTTGTTTTATACAGAAAACCTATGCAAGCACTTCTACAGATGGTTCACATAGGGGGAAGTGTTTTGATTTGCACCAGCTCTTCTAATACCTATACCTTATGAGAAGACTATTCCTCAGACTGGCTTAGGCAACGCCTCAAGGAGAGAAACTGTGAGCATTTGACACCGCAGGATCTGATTCCCCAACTATAGCTCCTAGCTACCGCTCTCAACTTGCTTGATAGTCAGACGTGTTTTGAGAAGGAAAAATTAGCAATAAGGCGTCCACGATGGGTGAACCGAAGAATGAGTGAAATCATGCAGAAACCGATCATCGTAAGGCACACTGAATACCGAAACTCGACGCGTTGTTCAAGGTAAGGTTGTGCATTACTCGGGCACCAAAAAAGCTCCACTTCAGCAGAAAGTCTTGCGCCCTCTTCTTCAGGGATCTTCCGTTTTGTTTGCTTGTCTAAAAGTAAAGGAGCAAAACGAAGCTATGAACTCGGCCACGTCACTGCGCATGCGCCCTGTTTAGATGCCTGGATAGACAAACAGCCAGACAAGCAGATAGACAGCGTGGCTCCATACTTATTTCATCAAATAAAATGATTGCCCCGGGATTTTTAACTTCAGCCTGTGGTTGGTTTTTTGTTTTTGTTTTTTTATTTCATCTTGTTATTTTCAAGGCACTATGTCTTTATTCTTTTATAGCTTGGTTTCCTATTAGAATTAGACTATAAAGTGAAATAATTCACAGGCTATTTTTTTTTATCTTCAATTGTTTTTGATAAAGCTTTAAGAAGGACAGGAGGTAATGTCTGAAGCGAGGGTTGTACTTTTCTGTAAATGATTAACCGACTCCTCTGGTCCTGAACGAGAGTCTGTTTTCCTTCCAGAACAAAAAGTCCCCAGACTGTAACCAGTTTCCTTGATATGGAGTGGCTCGCGCCAGCTAGTGAGAGACATATTTGTTCTCAATGCCTTTCTTCATGATGGATGGCTTTGAGAGCTAACTGAAACTGTTGAAGAAACCAAACAGAAAATGTAAAATTGTGACCTTCCAGATTCAGAATTTCAAATGTATATTAAAAAAAAAATCACAGTTCCAGTCAGTGTTAAGAAAATTCGTTTGTTTGGAAAGACTCAAATCTTTCCAGTTTCTATGTTTATCTTTAACTACTGCTATAGTTCAGGTGTAACTTTATAAACTGATAGAGGAAAAAGATAGCATCCTGTAGCTGACTCCGTGTTCAATACTTTCAAACTGGTGTGTTCCTAATTTTAATATTTGGGTCTTTCAATTTTTTAGGGCTTCAAAAACTTTACAAAGCATTTTAAATCAGCATACAAGCTCTATTAAATATCATTACAGCATGGTCGAACAAAGTGTATTTTAGTAGACGCTCCTTCTCCTCATCTCTTTGCCCTCCACTGTGCTTGAACTTCCCACAGTCCCACCCAAGTCTCTTACCTCTCTCTTGTCCCACATGTCCCTTTTCCCACCTCATCCTTTTGTATCACCTGTTCTGATCCTTTCTTGCCTTTACCCACAGTTACACTGTAATGTCTATGCACTTTCAGGCTCTGTCTCAGGCTCATGTGTGAGGACAAACACTTGCTTTTGTCTTTTGGGGCTTGGATCACCTCACTTGATACTGTGCTTCCCAGATCCAGCCATTTTCCAACAAATTTCATTTTTCTTTACAGATGAAGAAAATTCCACTGGATACCACATTTTCACTACCCATTCATCTGTTGATGGCCATCTAGGCAGGCCCCATTTCCTTTCTATCACAAATACACAAAACACGGTTTAAAAATCCACAGTCTGGATCTTTTCCACACCAGTAAAAATAATAATAATAATGACAGCCAGTTTCAGATTTTTTTCTTAAAAATACTTTCTGAATTACTCATAAAAATACCTTAATCACTCTCTGCTCGACCACAGTATCCAGCCATTCAATAAATGCTTCCACGGTAGCATTCTTCTTAAGGAGATCCTTCAGTTCTTGGAACACAGTGATAGAGTCATCTGCCAGGTCAAAAGAAGAGAAGGAGGAGCAGGAGGAGGAGGGAGGAGCAGAATGAGAACAAACAAGAGTTGGGAGGAAGAAGGGGATCAGTGGGAGTGAGAAGGAGAAGAAGGGTTATTAAGGATAAATATGATCAAAATACATCACATACGTATATGAAAAATCTCATAATAAAACTTGTCACTATGAGTAGTCAGTATGCAGTGATTCAAAATTAAAATATATCACACTACTTTGAACCCAAGATAGAACTTTGAGCTACAAATCATTGGAAATTTTATGGCATGAAGAGGAAAGAGAGATGAATAAATATGTGACATGTATTAATTTCTTTTTCTGATAATTATAACAAAAATGCTTAGTCATCAGTGTATCTGTTTTGGGATACACTGAAATACAGGTTTATACTTTATATATGTAATTTGTATACATGTCCTTGATGGGAATAATTACTATAATGAGCATTTCTTTTTGATTCAGCACTTTTATTTGCTGAAAGTAACTCATTAGAAGTGTCGAAAGCTAATGAATGGCCCAGGCTAAGCTTGTTGATTTTCTGCTTTTTGAAAGACTCTATCTTCTACAAATTAAGCTCTGCACTGCAGAACTGAGCCATTTACACAGATAACATTTCTCAGAAAATTTAAAGAGACAGTCTAGGATTATCATATTGTCGAAGAATTTGAGGTCTGCTGAACCCCGGGATGTAATGCAGCTAACTGAAATGAGGCTTGATGTCAGACCCCAAGAACAAGCCATCGCTTGTGCCACATCCTGTAGGAAGCCGCAGGTTGTTCTGTCTTCGCAGACAGAAAGTGATGGGGAAAGAGTCTGCTGCTGTCCCTTAGTATTGAGCACAGATGCCTAACCACTCATATGGGTTTTGTTAACTTTGTCAAATAGTCTAAGGCTAATTTAGATCTGTATTTCTAATAGCATTGTGCTGAGGCACAATCTTAATATGTGTCATACACTGTATAATGGCAGGAGCATTGGACATAAGCAAATGTGATTGTAGGTCATTTAAAAGTGGAAGAAAATTCAGAAAACTCAAAGCCATATGGATTATTTCCGGGTTATATATTTTTGGTTGTTTCTAATTAAAAATATTTCCATAAGAGTTTCTCCAACAGAAGTGATTTTGCTGTCAGGAACATTCAGTACCACCCAGAGACAATTTTGGTTGTCACAGCTAGAGAGAATGCTGCTCATGGCACCTGGTACACAGCCAATGATGCTGATAAATGTCCTACAATGAATGACACAGCCTCCCTGTCCCCCAGATAAGTTACCTACCAAGGGGTCGATAGTGTCAGCTAGGAGATTCTGTTGTTAGCTAAACAGACTCACGTTCACTGTAGATGTCAGACTCCGTGTCTGTACTGCTGGGGATGGTGAGAAGTGCCTGAGATCCGATACTATTTAAGTCAACCTTTTCAATATCAGATACCATGGAATTCACCACATGCTGGTCAAAGAGAGCTGGCCTGGCGATCTGAACATAGACAAAAAAAAAAAAAAAAAAAGACACTGAAGTGTATCAGTCACAGTCTACCTGAGAATGTCTTCAGCTTTGATTAAAAAGTAGTTTCTTGAAGGAAGACAATGATTAATAACTCTTGAGTTTATCTGTGTGTAAATGCATGTTTGTATGTAGTTGTATGTATGTGTCTCTGTGGGGGCCAGAGGTCTACATTGGGTGCCTTCCTCAGTTTCTCTCCACATTATTTTTTGAGACAGAACCTCTCACTGAACCTGGAACTCATCGACTGAACTAGAGCAACTGGCTGGGAAGCCCCAGGGATCCTGTCTCTCGGTCTTCTCTGTTCCAGCTTTATGGGTATAAGCTATCACAATGCCTGGCTTTTGTGTGGGTTCTGGTCCTCATGTTTGTATGGCAAATACGTTACTGTTTGTATGGCAAATACTTTATTGACTGAATTCTCTCCTCTGCTCAAGCTTTTCCATCATTTTAAATTTAAAAGCAATAACTGAAACTCATGATCGGTTTTGAGATAGATTTGAAATTTCATTTGAGATTTAGAAAATGAAAATAATATTTTTGATCCATCATCACACAGCAAGAATGATTAAACTTAAATATTAATTTAAAAATAACATTTTAAATGTTACATTTCTTATCTGGACCTATCTCTAGTTTGTTGCTTTTTTTTTTAATTCAAGATACTGAAACCTTCATAGAGCCAATAATTATAGTGACAGTGACAAGTGTCTGTGCCATTTCTATGTATGAATTATTTTGCTGCTCCATATTTGACAGGGACTGTCAGTTGCAGTTTAAAGAGTAGAGAGCTTGGAGGTTTAATACCGTTAAATATCACACAGTCAGGCTGGAAAGATGGTTCACAGGGTAAGAGTATGTACTGCTCTTCCAGGGGATCCAAATTTTATTCCCAGTACCTATGTCAGTCAGTTCACAGACACTTGTAACTCCAGCTCTGGGGTACCCAATGCCTCTGGCCTGTGCAGACACCGGTACTCAAGTGCACATCCACAGACACACATATATTCAATTTAAAAGATAAATGTAAACAAGGAATCAAACAGCCTCACTGCTCCTGTCCTCGTGTGCATGCGCGCGCGCGCGCACACACACACACACACACACACACACACACACACACACACACACACCAAATTTAAAAGGTAAATGTGAAAAAGGAACCACACAGCCTCACTGCTCACTTTACCTTGTACCAGCTGATACTTTGCTTTTGAGACTACAGTAACATTACTTCTTATTTTGAATAAATTAGAATCACAGAAACATTGCAAAACAAGTGTAGAGAATTTCAGAATGCTGCCCATCCAACTTCTTATACTATATACATCCTATTACATGGGCAATATCTATTTCCAAAAGCAGGATATTAATGCATGTACTGTACAGTTAGCTAAAACACAGACATACAGATATAATTCTATACCTATGCATCCTCTCTCAGGTCTAGTATTTGCTCTAGGCTACACATTTCATCTTGATGTTGCATGCTTCGTTTCCTTCAAATTGTGAAAGATCTTTAATTGGAAGAGTCGCTCCCTTTGACTTGAGTGACTCATATTCTCGGCGGACCCCATACCTGAGCAAGATGCAAGAAAGATGTCTGTCGTTTCAGAGAAGACACGAATCTTCGCACAATGGGAATTTTCTTGTCAGTTAGGGCTTCTGGCAAGTTTTCCAAGGATGAAACAACCCACTGTTCCCAATTTTTAGCAAAATTTCTTATGTCTGATAGCAAGCTACAAAGAAAATGCTGGGTTAGGTGCTGCATTGTTCAAAAACCGTATTGAATATCTGCATTTCAATGGATGGATCCTGTTGGACAGCACTTCCAAAAGCATGAATTTGAAACCAAACAGACTCAGCCTGGAGCTGCTGTATATGATCTTAATAAAAATGCTCAATCTCCTCAAACTCCAGCTTCCTCATCTATTAAATGGGACTAAGAACAGTATCTGGTCATGGGATTATTTTGAGAATTACATGAAATGACTCATGGGAAATGCCCTTGTTTGAGCCTAGCCCGAAAGTAGTAATCAATAGGTTCCTTATTATTATTAACTCACAATTCATTATTTTCTGTGAAATACATTTCTTGGGACCATGTGTCAGCTTTTTGTTACATATTTGACTTCTTAGATGATATTATGTTGACACTGTAAAATTGCATGTATTTAATCAGTTTTATTAATGTATTTTTATCATCCAAGTATAATTGTATGTGACAGGTGATCAAAAACGTACTACTTACAGAGGCCACTTCAAACTGCAAACTGTGGCCGCGTGTAAGATGATATAAACTTTTAAAACTCTAAAATCCTCATATTTGTTTCGCAGAAGCAGTCTATGTGTAGTTGATGAGTTTGTATGTGGGAAGCAGTGATAAAACATAGGGAAAAGCCAAGCTTCGGTCAAACTCCGGGGTCTAGCTGCCGCTGGGACATTAAATGAACTCTCCACATCCAGCTTCCTCCTTTGGTAATTTTGGCTTATAATATTCACTCTTGAATAATATTTAAGCATGTATTTTTCATTCAACGATAATGAGTGAATTAAATAAATGGCAGTATTCTCTGAATGTATGCCTTCCCTTAAAAGGAGAGCTCTGAGCCGTACACACTAATGTGGAAATGTTCTCGGAGGAACTGCAACAATGTTAATATTGTGCTTTCAGTTTTTCAATTATCTACAGTCAAAGGTATTTTTGAGAAAAAAATGATTGAATGAAGCTCAGCTGTTACTACTGTTTTAGATAGTCATGAATTATCATGTGTAACTGACTCAGAGTATAGATAAAATACTTGAAGTGCTCCATGGATAACTGAAAAAACTATTGACCAGACCAAGGCCAACTATTACATAAAGAAAGAAAAGATGTCAAAAATAGATATTTCTATCAACCAATGTGCATTTGAGCACTACATGAAGGCATAATTTAGTTTGTGGCCTCTGTCTAAAAATAACTTACATTATTTCACAGACTTTTTTCGAGAGAAAAATTTGCTCATTTCCCCCCAAAGTTACGTTTTCACCCTGGAAATGGCTGTGTGAAAAATCTCCCCATACATTTTAAATAAAGTATTTAAGATCTTATTTCTTTACTGAAAGAAGGTTGTAATTTCATTATGCCACTTCCTGATTTTGCAGATTAAGTTAATCATAAAAGTGTAATTTAAGATTTCTCCAAAATTCCCTCAGATTTTGTTATTTTGCTTATTTTTCCCACTGACTATCCCATGCATTCTCCATCTAGTCTTCATTGAAGAACTTTGAAGCACATTGGAGGTCGACCATGTTTGGATAGCAACTTTTTCTTTCACTTTGGCAGGTCTTACACTGAAGATACTTTAGGTTTTCATTTTACCCATTTTATTCTCTGATGCCCAAATATGAAGACCCCTTCCAGGTGATAGAAAGAAAAAAAGTATTCTTGATAAAAGAATGAATTCTAAGCCAATGTTTTTCATTAACATGTATATGAGGTGAAACTGCTATTCTTATGAGGACCTGTCTTGTTTTATTAGCTGAACATACCTTTCAGGCATTTCTTGCATTGTGGCAGGAATGAGGACATCTGTAAGAACCTTAACCAAAACAAACAGAGTTAATATAAACCTTCAGAAATGATTGTGATTAGAGCTTTGGGAGAATGGGCTTGTGTCTTACCACCCAGGTTTAGGCAGAGCTAAGAACTGAACCAAGACCTCTAGGATGCTAGGCCAGCAATCTGCCCGGCGAGCTTCATCCCCAGCACCAGAAATGATTATTTATTGATTGATTACTTTTTTTTTTTTTTTTTTTTTTTTTTTTGGTTTTTGGAGACAGGGTTTCTCTGTGTAGCTTTGCGCCTTTCCTGGAACTCACTTGGCAGTCCAGGCTGGCCTCGAACTCACAGAGATCCACCTGCCTCTGCCTCCCGAGTGCTGGGATTAAAGGCGTGAGCCACCACCGCCCGGCTGATTGATTACTTTTACTTGTTACTTTCCTAGAGAGTAACATGATTTCTTTCTGAGGGTTAGAATTTTCTCCCACAGGAGTGGGTATGTGGGATTTGTATGTGAACATAGGAGACAGTCAATTAACAGCCTTCCTGTGAATTACTCATGGATTGGTCTTGTTAATCACACACTGTTTTGCAGACTAGCAGTTAGATGCTCTCTGTAAGTGGGGAAAAACCTTACAGATGCTCAGTTTACACTGCTTTATTTGCTGTGCCCTTTGTGCCTCCCTGGTCCTGCCATGAGGAAGAGAACTAAAGGTATTTATTGATACTTAGAACAGAACATTCTTGCATTGGGCTAAAATTTTAAAAATAATTTGTGCATGGGTTGGGGGAAGGGTGGGTGTGTGAAAGTTATTTCTCAGAAGAGCTGAGTTGTTATGCCAATGGTGTCACTCTGACAGTGACAGCTGTGTATCTGAGCCTAGGTCTCTCCCGTGTTCATTCAGAGCCACCTTATGCCCACTTTTTCAAGTGGTGAGCATTACAGACAATCATGCAGCGCAAACTGAATCTTTCTTTGTAAATATTGGCACTTATTTAATAGAAAAAAGAAACAAAACAAAGATGGTCCTTGCTCTTTCTTGTCCATCAATGTGAGCCTGAAGTGAAGGCGAGAAAACCCTGCACTTGGCTCTGCATTCTCTTGCTTTGTGATTACTGAACAGAGAATGAACATGTGGCCCCTCACTTCCTATCTTCAAGTCAAGCTGTCAACTGTTTGCAAAGCTGCCTCTGAATGATAAAGCTGGTGTCTCCTCTAGTTTTCTGAAAACCTGAGAACGAAGAAGTAACTAATTTGTCCAACATGTTTGAACTTTCTTGCCAACTCAGAATATGTTCTCAAAGGATAATTTATGGTTTTCCATATGACAACTTGGCAGGTAAATGCAGGCAAGCTCATTTTAAGGTGCAATATTATTGCCCCCCCCCCCCCTCTGTTTGGGCCTTCTTACAACTGTGGAAGATGCTCTCTCCCTCCCCACTAAATGTTTGGCTGGGTCAACCAGGTTATCTGTCCCAGGATCTGTTCTTGTGACCATTCTGAAGAAATCTGTAGACTCTTATTGGGTTAAGGATAGAATTGGACATTAATGCATTTAAGTTAGAGATTTTCAAGGTGTTTATCCAATGAGAGTATTTAATTCTGCTTTCTCCTGAGATGGTAGATGTTGTATTATGTTAATATGAAAACATCTCATAGAGGTAAACAAAATTCCATAAACTTTTCAAATATTAGCCACCACATCTTATTTTGGATTGTTCTTAGATGTAAACAGACATTGAGTTGGTTCTGTTTACTGTAAAAAGGTTTTTAAATAATTGTAAATATTTTACAAGCATTCAGGGTGTTATTTAAGGAAATAAATTCTTCATACTTAAGGCAACCCAAGGAGCTTACCTTATAAAGAATTGAGTCACAAACACAGAAAATGTCAATGATAACAGGATTTTCCAGCAGGGGAAGGAGATGGTCAGGCATTCCTTGCCAAAAGTGCAGTAAGAAATGCTGGATCTAATTGTAGAGCAAAGAGCACATTGAACTTATTAAGAACAGGATGTGAATGTTTGCATAATGCCATAGAGAAGCGTTCTGTAACCTCACCTCTTCAAAGTTCCCATTGATTGCGTTGTCAAGGATACACTGGCAGTGAGTTTTGTACATCATTATGAGAGTATCAACCTATGTTAGGGAAGAAAAAGCTTAACTAAGGAATTTTTTTAATTTGTTATTTATTTATTTCATACTTTGATGCTCCTGTTATAGGCCAGGCATTTTGCTCAGTGCAAAGGACCTAGAACAAGGAGCAGATCCTTACTTATCTCAAGATTACTGCCCAGCGAAGGAAAGGGGTGAGGAAATTGGTGATCAGATGCCAAACAGCATGATAAGATGTAACATGATACAACATGTTATTAATAAGAGCATTTTACAAGGTAGCAGCAAGGGAACCATTGACTAAAATATCATCTTAATTTTCTGCATAAGAAAAATATGTTTTATTGGAAGAAAATGAATGTACAACATCAAAATGCATCAACTTTTTGTTGTTGTTTTTGAGACAAGGTCTTGCTATGTAGCCCTGGCTAACTTGAAATTTACTATATGGACCAAGCTGGCTTTAGACTCACAGACATCTGCCTGCTTTCCTCCTCCCAAGTGCTAGAATAAAAGGTCTCCTACCACATATCTGACCTAAACTACATCAATTCTTTGGATGCTGGGAGCAGTGTGGTGTAGTGGTTTCAGGCTTTGACTCTAGAGTCACCTTAAAAAAAGTTCTAAATGAATTAACACATACAAAGTGGTTAGTGTATGTTTGAAAAAAGGATGAATGTTAGCTCTTTGGATCACAGCAGCATCTTATGGTGGTATGGTCATTGCCTGTCCTACCATTTTGCATTTTCCCTCTTATTATGGGGACAGCATCCATCTTTATGGTCTAGTTTGCCCCTAAATAATGACGGCATGAAAATTAGCAGTCTCTTTCCAAGGAGTTATGTTGACCACAGGATATCTCCAGCAGGATGTTCGCATCAAAGCAAATGAAACTTGCTCTACACTTTAGGCAAAACTATTATTTTCAGATAGGTCACCAAGGCAAACCTTTTACATGAGAGTGAGAACAGTATGAAGGATGGAAGGGAAGCCTTAAGATTATCAAAATCCTGATACTGTTAGGAAACACAAAGGGTATCAGTGGGAGGAGGGAAAGCAGAAAAATGTAGGTAACTTGGGTACGTATATGACCAAAGTGAGTAATATACATGTATTAAAATTTTATAATGCAATTACTTTATTCATTTTACATAAATTAATAAAAATTAACATGTGGGGCTCCAAAATCTACTAATATAATTACAAATTCTAGTTTATATGTTGCTTTTTTTTTCAAATATGCTGCTTTACACACAGCTCAGCAGACATTTTAGATCTTACTATTAGTGTTTCATGTGTTTATCTAATATTTACATACCTTATGACACTAAACTTTAATTGTAGTGTACTTGCATTCTTCAGAAACACATTTGATTTTATTTTCTGAGGATAGATGTCATTTTAGTCATTACCAGAAAGAGTCAAGACTCAGGTCAATTATAGACAGTGAACAGGGAGTGGAGTTGACCTCCACCTTGAGTGACCACAACAGAATGAAAGTGCAGCCCCACCCCCCACCCCCCACCCCACACACCCCCTCCCCAGGCTGTTGGCAATGACGTTTACTGGGATCAGCTCCTCACTGAGCATTCTCCACTCTTTCTGCCCCTGGCTTCAGCCCCAACCTCTTTCTGGGATCTGATAGATCACCTGTGGATCTTGGCAACTGTAGGAAGGTAAAAGGGCTAAGCCGTATTTCAGGACAAAGAGAAGGATGTCAGTCCCTGGACTGGTGAAAGAGGTCCCTGGGAATGAACTTAGAAGGCAGGGGGTCTCATAATCAATCACCCTGGGTACCTGAGTGAGAAATGACCTACCAGAATTTCAATGTGAAAGGTTGGAATTCCTCGGAGGCCAGCAGAGAAACTGAAATAAACTATTGGCCCGTGTGCCTCACCTCTCTATTTTTCTCTGTCACTTGCCTCCTTCTCTGGCTCTCCCCAGGTATATTTACACAGTAAACATTTTCATGGCATGCTTGCATGCAAGCAACCCTCTCCACAAAGGAGAGCCAATAGCACTCTCCCTCCAAGAAATGAAGAAACACTGATTTCCACAGCTCCCCCCGCCACAAGCTGCCACATGTTAACATTTATTCCAATTTCTCTAGTATGGAGTCATTATATCTATAAATAAAAAGTGTGCTAACCTAGAGAACTGTGATTGGAAGTGTGAAGAGAAGGGAACGGATATATTCAACATCTGAAAATTATCTTCACTACTTGGTCTCTTCTTACCTAGCATGGTCGTTCTGGCATCCAAATGGGTCCTATAGTTACTCTGCATCTCTATTTATGTATCAATAGTTTAAAAAAAAACCAACATCCCATTTTTGTTTCCTCTTTCACAAAACTCCTATTGCTAAAATGATTCAGTTGAATATTAATGACATCCTTGTGTGTTTGTACCTCAAAATATGAAATGTGTCAAAAAGCACTTTCATCCAATGTGAATATAATGAGCTTTACTTGAAAGAAACACATAAAGATCATTAAGCTCTGATTCAATAATGGTACCCACTAATAAAGAGCCAGTGATTCCCCATCAAATGACTTTAGAAGTGCAGAAATGAGAGAAGATTTGGTGTGAGACTTTATTAAAGACGAATTGGAAATTCTTATTGAGGGATACTTATAGGATGAACCCAGTGAAAACAATTCTCCCTTGACATCTTGTGTAGCCCTTACATTTCCTTAGCATCCCCTTCATTGCTAGGAACAGATTTCATCCTAGAGAAATGTTCGGTGCCTTTATTGAAATAAAATGGAACTAACAAAAAAACATAAAGCTTACCACTGAAAATCTGGATGCAATAAACACAGTATAGTTTTTTTTTTCCTCAATTTTGAATTTTAAATAAAAATAATCTTTAGCCTTTGGGGATTTATTTTACTACCTTCTGATTATGCACTATCATAGAGATGGTAAATAATTAATTGAAAAGTGTTTAATCAATGTTAGTAAACATTTGTCTCTCCTATAAATCAATCAATTCTGTTTGATAATGCAGATTTCTGACTGCTTCCTGCAAGTGCCATAAGATTCCCAACGAACGGAGATATGGAGCCAACATATCAGAAAATCGATAGGGAAGTGTCTTTAATTGATACCTTGTCCTTAGAAATGCATCCTTGGTACACAAGATGTTGAGCACTGGGGAATTCTGGAAGAAGTGTTCCTGTTTTTGAGCTAAGGGAGTATTTTCGAGTAAAACCACCCTGTAATTAAGAGAGGCACAAAAAGAAATGTCATGGTTATGGACTCCAAATTCGGTAATGAAACAGAAATGAACATTTCAAACTGTGTACATTTAGAGGTTTGGGTGAATTGTGTAACCGAATTAACCAGATACATCAGCCAATTTGCTCCCAAATGTTAAGTAACTTCATCATCAAAATATCTTCCCTCCCACTCGGGAGTTTTGTTTTGAATGTTTGCCATTTTTAGAGAGCAAACTTAAGTTCATATTTGTTAATGGTACATTTTGGAAGGTCTACTGCTGGAATTGCTAAAATTATTTTAGCTGCAAAATCAAGGGTTGCTGGATCCCAATTGTGTGCTTCCCAGTAACATAAGCAAGATGATGAGAACTAGATCCACTTGCTGAGTCTCAGGTGGATTAATTACTGCTAGGACTTTACTAGCATCCAAGTCTTCTGGTTTCCAAACTTGTAATTTGAACTTCTCTACGTCAGCGCCCCCACACTGAATATGGAAGTTTGTCATTCTTTTGCATCTCTGGAGGAAAACAGTCTTCAGCAAATTTAAAAAAAAAAATTGCAAAGACACATTGTGTGATATGTGTAATACTGCAGAGCTGACACCTGTGGGAAACCCACACAGGAAAAGTGGATGTCTGTTTATAATGTCCCACAGGCCAAAACTGATTGTTCCCGCTCTAGAAACAGAAGTTAACAAACTTTTCAGAGGCAGTTATCCTTGGGAGGAAGGAACAGAAGAACCAGGAGTTCAAGGGCAGCCTCCACGGCACAGAGAGCCTGAGGTAACCTTGACCACCTGAGACCCTGTCTCAGAAAACAAAAATTAAAACTAACAGAAAAAATTAAATAGATGTGGTTGCAATCAAAAGTTTGAGTCAGGAATAAAATTACAAATATGGTAAAGGATGGGAAGGAAGGAATTTTGTCCTGTCTTCTAGCATCTCCAGACTTCTGGGTTTCTCATGTTCATCTATGTCGTGTTGAGTAAGTTTACTCGACTAAAGATTGATTACTGACGTACACATGCAGGGTTTCCACCCTGTCTTATCAGTACCAGGCTTTGAACATCCTTCTAGAATTTTCATGGTAAAACAACAAAAAAGTTTGGAAGACTCTTGAGTCTTTAAACATTAAATACTTTAAAAATCACTGGTTTTATATGGAAAGATTCTATATAAGCATGTAAACCAATTTTATATTAACATGCAAACCAGTTTTTCCTAATTGCTATAAATTTTAGCCCTAACCTCTATTTTCAAGCGTGATAAATATTAAATAAAAACTTAAGAATAGTCAAGAACTATTACAGAAATAATCTTCATATGCTGATATAATTGCAAGTTGATTTCAACCCACTCCATTTAACTAGTCTTCATAATTCAAGATTTATTTCAAAGACTTTTTATGCTTTGGGTTTGCCATGTATTTTGAACACTGTCAGTGGACCATCAAAGATGAGTACTGGAGGCCAAAAAGAAAAACAACACTGACTTACGAAAATAAAGAATTTTGTTTTGTTTTATTTTTGTTGTTTGTTTGTTGGTTTGTTTTCAAGATGAGGTTTCTCTGTGCAACAGTCCTGACTGTCCTAGAACTCACTTTGTAGACCAGGCTCGCTTCAAACTCACAGAGATTCACCTGCCTCTGACTCCTGAGTGCTGAGACAAAAGCTATGCATCACCATGCCTGGCTAGAATTTAGAGTTTTGTTGTTGTTTTTGTTTTGTTTTGTTTTGTTTTTCGAGACAGGGTTTCTCTGTGTAGCTTTGGAGCCTGTCCTGGAACTCACTCTGTAACACAGGCTGGCCTCGAACTCACAGAGATCCACCTGCCTCTGCCTCCCGAGTGCTGGGATTAAAGTCGTGCACCACCACCGCCTGGCTAGAATTTAGTTTTTAATGAAAGGACAAGTTTTATCCTCATTGTAAAGCCTGAAACATCAAAAGTTCTAGGGGAAAAAAACAGCATAGGCAGTACTCTTTACAATATCAGTATAGGAAAGGACTTTCTGAATAGAACTCCATGTGTATAGGAATTAAGATCTACAATTTATACACGGGACCTCATAAAACTAAAAGCCCTCTGTACAGCTAAGGCAACAGTCAAGCAAATGAAGAGGGAGCCCAGAGGCTGGGAAAGGACCTTTGCCAGCTAGCTATGTATCTGAGAGAGGATATATATCCAGAATGTATAAAGAGCTCAAAAACCAGTTAAAAATCACGATCCAAATAAAAAGCAGACTGTAGATTTGAACAGAGAGTTTGCAATTGAAGAAATAAAAATAGCTAAGAAATATCTCAAAAAAATTGTTCATTTTTCTCTAGCAATTAGAGAAATGAAAACCAAAGCAACTATGAGATTTCATCTTACCCTCGTCAGAATGGTAAAGATCAACAAAACAACTGAAAACAAATGCCGGCCAGCAGGTCGGGGAAGGGAACCCTCATTCACTGTTGGCGGGACTGCAAACCGGTGCGGCCACTATAGAAATCAGTATGGAGAAACCTCAAAAAGCTAGAAATGTATCTTCTGTATAACTCATCTATTTCACTCTTTGGAATATGCCCAAGGGACTAGGCATCTTACTTCACAGATACTTGCTCAGCCATGTTCATTGCTCTATTCACAATAGCTAAGAAATGGAAATAACCTAAATGTTCTATGACTGATGAATATATAATGAAAATGTGGCACATACACACTATGGAATACTATTCAGCTATAAAGAAAACTTAAAATCATAAACTTTTCAAATAAATGGGTGGAACAAGAAAATATCATAATGTGTTAGCCCAGACCCAGGAAGACAAACACTCACATGTACTCTCTTATGCATAGTTCCCAGCTCTGAATTTTTAGATGTGAGTATATAACCTAGAGTAACAGCAGAAACCGGGAAAGTAAAGAAGGACCAAGTAGGGGTAGGTGGGGGGAGGTATTCTAGAGAAAGGAGTAGCAGAGCACAATTATATGAAAGGGGAAATGAAAAAATTCGGGGGGGGGGGGGGGCTTTTAAATGGGAAGGCAGTAAGAATGAGAGGGAGAGAGGGAGTAAAGTACTAAGGAAGTTTGGAAGAGTCATAGGACTCATGTCATGTTTACCTAAAATTATATATAATATATATAAGTGTTATATATATATAACATACATATATATGTATAGCATATATGTAATTTAAATGAAGTTATCTCATTTGGGGTGACAATGGTCCCCCAAGAGTCATATACTAGTTAACAAAATCCTCAGTACCAGGCTTGACAAATCTTTCAAGTTGTTAATCAGGGATATTCATGAGATTCCCCTCCAGCCAATGTAGGCTAGCACTGTGTCCCTTTGTTTCCTCCCATAGTTTACAGGTTAAGTCTGTGCTGCTGAAGACCCTGCACACTTGATATGCAAGACTTAGAGGAATGGAGCTGGAATTACCCTGGAGGCCTCCTTTCTGAGAACTAATTCTCATAGAACTTGGAGGTAGTATACAAGCTGCCAACGGAGGAAAGTAAGTAACAGTCCTAACCGCCTGTGGACCTACAAACCACAACAATGATCAACATGGGCGAGATATCCTCAAAGGTGCAATAGCGGCACTCTTGTCTTGGGTATAATCAACATCTGTCTAATTGAACTTGGGACCTCTTCAATAGGAGGGCGTTCATGTCTCATACTGTAAGTCTAACCAACTACTCATGGCTGGTGATACCATGGAACTTAGAGAACCTACTATTGACATTTTCCCCAAACCTCTATGATTTTGAACTGCATTCTAAACACTATACTTATCTTTTTAACCACAGATAAATGCAGCTTCACCCCCACCAAAGAAGCTTCTTTGTACAGTAGATGGAGACGACTACAGGAAGATACACTGGTCAAAATGCAGAGAATAACTGACTGTGAAGTGCCCAGTCCCAGTTGATAAAACGTAACTCCTGCACCTACACCTCAGGGAACATTGTGGGAAAGGAGCCAGACAGAGTACCAAGACATCTGGTGAGAGATTGTGTCTTCTATATAGAACAGGAAAGCTGTACTATGAAATCACAAGATTATGGTTGTGTAAAGTAGACCCGCATAACAACAATATCAGTTGATATGTCAGCATGGATAGGGGAAATCTCACAAGGTTCTACCCCTAGATAAAGAGAGCTATAGATAATTAATGACTTATGAGACAGGGAGAATCAATCTTCCTCTGGGATGAGCCTCCTAATTGGTTATCCAAATGGTCAACCCTAAAAATATCTGAATATGAGCAACACTAAATAGACCCAGCAGGTTGTATTTATATATTTACGTATATGTATACATACAACAATAATAAAGAAAAATGAGGAGAAAGAAGAAAAGTTGGAAGGGCTTGGAAGATAGGTGGGTAGATCTGGGAGGAATTAGTGGGTTCAGTGGGGGAGTGAATATGATCAAAGTACACTATATGAAGTTCTCAAGGGTTCAAGAAAATATTATTTAAAACGTTAAAAAGAGAATGGAAGCAGGATGAGCTGGATATCACCAGGGTTGCTCTGCAAGCTTGCAGAGTATTGCAGGCTGAAATGAAAGAATGCCAGAGAGTACCTTACTCCACACGAAGCAATAAAGAGCTAAGAAAAAAGGTAAATAAATACAAGGTAATTACAAAAGTCAGTTTCAACTCTGCTTTCTGTTTTCACTTGAGTTAAAAGACCAATGCATAGAAAGAAAAGCATCTGCGCTACTGTAACTTTTGTTTGTTACCTCCACATTTTGTTTTCTATATAACTTCATAAACAATAACTGTCAGTGAATGTTTGGGGGCACGTATGTATAAAGTGTGATTTGTAATACAACTGAAAAGGATAGGGATGGAGGTGTAAAGTATTCATTTTCAATGTGTCACTGAAATTTAGTTGATTTAAATTCAGACTGGAGTTTTATACCTTTAGGATACTAAACATGATACAAGTGGTAACTACAAAGAGTCAGAGAATATACACAAAAAGAGGTGAGGAGGAAATTTTACT